GGTGGAAATAACTTTAAAATTGCTAGTGTACTACGGTACAGTGGCACATGTAAAATCACTTGCTCTGATATTTTTTCACTATAAAGGCCGATTTTCTTCTTTTCTTCTTTTTTTAAATAAACAACATAATTAACATTGGAAAGTCAACTGGACACCGGTACAGCATGATATGCAAATTTGCTTGCCCGACGTCGGGCAATGGGTTATTTCCAGGCCTGAAATATATGCTAGAAATCCCACGCAAGTCTAGAAAGTCTAGATTTCCACAGGTTCTGAAAATGAAGAAAGTCTCAGGGCTCCTTTTCATTATATTTTTTTTTTTTCACTTTGAGCTTTTTTTCATTTCAGAGTAAAATATGTTCATTTCAGAGACTAGTTGTTAGTTTAAAACAAGGCCTTTTGACTTTACTTCCTAATTTTGAAAAATGCATGTGAGTTTAACTTAAAAGAGCATGATGTGACAGTGAGAAAGTCTATGGGCTAAAGAACAAAGGTCTTCTACACATTATAGTATGTTACCTACAGTGAAAAACAAAGCCAGATGAGTGCTTGTTGGAGACAAAAAAACAATCAACCTTGTCAATCAACATACTCATGCTATGAACTCTGGGTCAGGGTGCTCTACAGAGAATGTCTGCAGCATGGTGAATGTATACTATATGTCACAGCTGTGAAAGCAGAAATAAGTTAACTAAAAAAAAGTGCTTCACACATACTTTCTGAGAAATCTAAAGTAACCCTTTGACAGAGCCTAGTTCCATATGACAGATTTATGGTTTGGTTTGGGTTTAACACCTCACTGATCAATATTCCAGCTATATGGCACAGTCTGTAAATAACTGAGTCTTGAACAGACAATCCAGTGAACAACAGCATAAGCATCAATCTATGAAATTGGTACACAATAGCATGTGTCAACCAAGTCAACAAGCCTGGATTCACAGTAGAATGACATGACTAATTGCTTGATGTCAGTCACTTTCCAACTCCAACTTTGTTGATGTGTGTGCTAATTACACAACACCACAGGACATTGCCCATAATATGAATGACTTGTTTGTCTTGTCATGAGTTAATTATCTAAAAGACTTTGTTGTACAGCTGGAATATTGCTTTTTGTTTAGTTTGGACTTAATAAATGCTACATTCAGCAATGTGGCAGGGGACAATAAATAATGAAGTCTGGACCAGACAAAACAATCATTGGTATTCCCAACAAAATTCAACCCATTCATGACTACCATTTATCAACCATGTCATGGAGTCTGACTGGAATATCCATTATGTTGTGCATTTTGATAAGCATAGGTTGCATAATACATTCAGTAAACTCCAGCCTGGAAACCGTACAGGGGGCACATTTTCCTAAATGAGCTATGAAACAAAAAACAAACTATTTGGCCAGATAATTCACTGACCCTGACTGGTACATTTTGACTTCCACGGACAATATCTCATTATGTAATTCCCATCTGACATTGAGGAGACAATAGATCCATCACAAGACAAAAGTTCATGCTTCAAAATGCATAATGACAGCTTGAAACTCTCTATGTTCATGCCATAGACCTCACAAATCTACTGGTATTAATGAGAGACCCTTTGATTAAAAAGCTGATAAACCCATGTGAATCCCTGTTCACTCCAAGTTGAGGGCGGTGGGGTAGCCTAGTGGTTAAAGCGTTGGCTCATCACGCCAAAGACCTGGATTCGATTCCCCACATGGGTACAATGTGTGAAGCCCATTTCTGGTGTCCCCCACCGTGATATTGCTGAAATATTGCTATAAGAGGCGCAAAACCATACTCACTCACTCCAAGTTGATATGGACAAATTGAGACACAATTGTCTGTCAATTGGGGGATAATCAATGTGAGTACACTTGAAGAAAGCCTTCCTCCCAGTGTACATCCCCTTCAACCCCTACTACCTGTCAGGGTAGATTCAGCTTACTTCAATGCACTAATTAGATGAAACATATTCCATCTGTCAAAGCATATGTATCAGGGTTATCAGCAATAAACTTAAGGCTTTTATAGGGGCTTTTCAAGGCCCAGTAAACAATTTTAAGGAACTACATGTAACACATAAGTTGAATACATACAAGGTTGGTCAAATGTGGGACCAACCATCAGAGGGAAATAACTCTTAGCTACATCGCTGCACTGGGAAAGTTGCTTCCTGATGAAGATTGTATAAGGCCCATTGTCATTGCAAGGTATTTCTATTATGTAATAGTTTCCTGTAAAATCATAACTTGACAGGTTTTGCATAAATATAGGACCTTTTTAGGGCAAATCACTGGCAATTAGGGCCTTTTCATGGCTAAAACAAATTCAGGGTCTTTTGGGGTAAAATGTCCAAATTTCATGGGGATTTTCAATCCTGTGCGAATAGTGTACATGACGGCAAGAATTTTTTGGATGTCAACTTCTTTATTGTGAAGGGTCACGACGTTTCGAAGTATATTCTTACTCCTTCATCAGGTGAATGAAACAATTGGGAACAGACAGCTATATATGTACATGTTAAAACAACAACAGTTATGAGATAACAAGGGAAACCTGTAGTTAATTAGTAGATGGACAAGTGGAAGCCAGGGATTGTTGAGTGTAAATGAAAATACATGCAATACATTCCCTTGATGCATGTGCAATGAATGTGACACAATTTTATAATACACCTGTAAGGTATATGGGTCATATGACCTTCAAAACAATAAACTGAACTGAATACACCAATTAGTTGTGTGCCTCCCTCCCTGTGTATCTGAATGACCCCTCCCTCCTCCCACACTGTTGTCATGGAATATTCAGCTGAAATCAATACACTAATCATTGTGTGCCTCCAGGACAATGTCTAGTGCTGTTCACACTTATCAATATTGAATGACATGGTTTTGACTAGCATCTAACCTAGTTACAGTAAGCCTCCACTTCATTCTATCAGGAAGTGTTCCCCTTCCATCTCCTCTGTCATCTATGCAGCTGCTGATGAAGACAGACACATAAAAAAATGCACTAAGTTACATTCCATGTGTATCTCTTCCTGTTACACATCTGAATGAGTAAGTTGGGTTTTCCCTACCACTGAATGAATGGAAGAATACCTTGAGCAGCATGATGTTATAAATGATACATCATTCAACTGTGACAGATATGAACAGATATAAATGAATATGCAAATAAAGTCAGAATATGCAAATAAAGTCAAATTCATCTATTACATGTACAAATAAAATAATGACCCTAACATTAATTTTCATATTATCTAAAATTCAGAATGTTAACCTAAACTGTTACATAAAAGTGACTGAGGCCATACTAAATTATTATCCCTACCTGTCCCACTAACAAACTTTCCACCTCACATCAATTAATTGTTCCTATGTACCAACAGATGAAGACATTTGCTGTTTGTTCCCTTCTTTCTTCATATGAAACACATCATATTCATGGTAATATCAAACACTTGCTTCAGTGAATGTAAACAGATAAATATAATACAGAAGAAAATGACTCTTGCCTAACTGTCTCTTTAAATAAACTTTGGATGAACATAATTAATTTTCAGTGGAATAAGAGCTGATTTCTGGCAAAGATCGTGTCACCTGAATGTTATGACCAACCTACTTCATATGAGCTTATAGTCAACGAAGTGTTGATTCATACCTCGGCCGCCTAAATCACCCATAAACCCACAAAATGCAGCCTGTCCGACAGTTTAATGGTGACACACATATATCCAGTCATTATCCAGATTGCTGTAATTTATGTATAATAGTATCCGCTAAATGCACATTAACAGTGTGTGTAGTCAGGTGCAAAGGTGCGACAAATGTGTTGGGACTTTCTTAATGTAATAAATACTGTATAACACAAAAGATTTGTGAGTACATACTGACCCATTTATACAAACAAACTTGGAGAAATAATACACATCTTTACATAGAGCATATAAAAGGATCATATGGTTGAGTATTATCAACAACTTTGTTAATTTGATATGTTACATTAGAACCAGCAGTTAATCTGTCTTACAAACATTGCATCACAGCATTAACATGATCTGACAAATCCATAATTTATTCTTGAATAGTAGTTTCTGTTATCATTACCACTTGGGGATAAAATTACTACTCGCTACAACTAGGTTTGAACTTGCTGACTGTACACTACCCTGTCATATTGCAATTTTACCAATGTTTATGTTGTTACATTGTCAAAACTTAAAAATTAGTAATTCAACATAAATGTTCACTTTTTACTGCATTGATGATTCTTTTTGTGACTTCTTTTATGCTATGTTACAAAATTTCAGAGCCATCTTTATATTGTATTAATAAAGGTATATTACAAGCTGTTATCCATTAAAAAAGGTGTCATGTTCTCCAAAGTTCTAAATGCCTATATGAAGGCTTCATTGTTTAATGGAATTAAGGTTTATATTTGATAATTGTTCGTGGAATTTATTACCTAAAATATGCCCAGTTACATTATCATAAACTAATACGGATTTATATTATTATATTTCTGGTTTAACAGTATATACACTAGGAGAAATTCTTTGAGTGTGGTTTTCCTCGGGTTTTTTTTAATTAATTTGACCGGTCTCGCGACAGGGCCACCCACCCATGTCGCTGTCAATGACTGATTTCACGCTGATGACAGTTAATAAAAAGTTAGGCTCAGTGAATTTATTGTGGGTACATTCAACTGGCATACATTTGATCCCCTGCTGTGATGGGTTGAATGCATAGACGTGTAAGATCGAATGAATTGGTCCACGGGTGAGATAGCGTTTAGGAGCCTAACAACCCAGAGAATGCGATCTTCTCGATTGTTTACACTGCTTATGCAGTCGAGTCGCGCGCACCTTGTGCAGTAAATAGGCCGGCTCCGTGTTGTAATTCATTGAATGCGTGTATCCCATTTATGTAATCAATCATTCTGATCACATATGGCACAAATGACAAATTAACAGTATTTTTGTCAACATACCGTTAGCTGCTCTTGGAAACGACTCTCGCAGACTCGTCAGCTAGTGACCCGTAACCTTGACCTTTCACTGCGCCCCCTGTTGGTCAGGCGTAATTTATTTTAAAACCGATTTTTACTGTGACTGTTTCTGGAATAAAAAATTCTCCAGTGAATGGACGTAGTGTAAGAATGTGCTAGACGCGATATAACATTGTATAATGGAAGTAATTTCACTAGCTGTTGACATAGCAGCGAATGGCGAATTCAAGTTTAGACGTAGTTTCTCTATTAAAAAAAGTTATGTAGCAAAATTATGCATACAGTAGGGGATATATTAAATCGGAACTGTTGGAAATGTTTAGCATTTTAAGACTAAAATCGAATCTTAATTTGTGTGTAAATAATTCATGGAAAATATAGTCATTTCACGATAAATTTGTTTAACGTTTGTGAAAATCGCTCTTAAGCTCAATATTGCAAACCCTGTGTTTTCTTACATGCATTCGAAATTGATTCACTCAATTCTAAGATTAGAGTTGTAAGAATTTTGCAGAGGCAGGTTTCTTCACACAACCACACAATGAAGGGTTAATGAAATGATAACACTGATTAACATAGTCGTGATTAACTTAGTTGCAAATTACCCAATGTACGATCTCAAGACCTTATACATTCTGAGTAGCGTACGTCAGGACTATATATCGTAGTTTTTCGGGTGTTATGGTCTCGTATGGGTTTTTTTTCAGCCATCTGTAAATATGTAGGAATATAAAAAGCAAAGTTTGTGTTCCTGGAAATGCAACGTCACATCTAACAAACTGGCTTCGATGTATGATATCGTTAAGATGTTGATGTCATCGTGTTAGCCTATGATACAATATAATATATTCTGTGAATGAAATGTGAGTCTGACATCGTCCGTTGGTACACCAATGAAAGGATAAATGAACTGAATTCAAAATGTGTCTTAAATAGTCATGTGTAAGCACAGTGTTGACCGACCGCTTCAGCATATTAAGCAGTCATCGTTTCGGCGAATACCTGCACGAGAGGCGGAAAACGTCAGACAGAACGTGTTTTGTGCTTGACACCACACATGTACAATGTGATTAAATCACGTATTTGAAGGGTGCGCGTTGGTTTTACTGTTAGAATATTATTCACGCAATATGTGGTATTATGAATTAGAATAGCGAGAATGTTACTTCACTCATAATCACAAAGATGCTCCAAAACTAAAACATGCACGTATTAAATAAAATATAATTTTTATGATTGTTTTATATGAACGCTTCAATGAACGAGTATGATTTTACGCCAATTTTAGCCAATTCATCCTGCAATATCACGACACCAGGAATGGGCTTCACACACTGTATCCATGTGGTGAATCAAACCCGGGTCTTGGGCGCGATGAGCGAACGCCACGCTATCCCACCGCCCCATGAACGCATCAACATGGAACGATGTGAAGGCGTTCCATTGCAGCCATTCTGTATGCAAATGACAGAATATTTTATTTAGATGCTAGTTATCTGATAAGAAATTGTAAAAGTACTATGGATGAGTTATAAAAATACAACCGAATAAAGATTTAAATCAAGTGTCTCACCTAAACGGATGGAGAGCAGTTTTACTCTGAGTGTGGTGTATTCAGCAGTGCTGGATAGGTCTTCAGCTGTTCTCTGTTTAATCGATATTGTCATCGCGTTGAGAGCTCTTTTGACTGATAGATATGATCACTACATACTTAGCAATAATATCTTTCCATCATCCATCTAACCCAATTAGTCAATGTGGTTTCCTATGAATACACAATGCCTTGTAGAAACTCGATCGGAGAGTGGGGGTTCGAATCCGGGTAAACTTCTCATGTTCTATTCATACAATTTTAACGATATAAGCGATGAATATATTGTGTTTCTAAGAACCATAACATGTTGGATTTTTTATAAATACTCCGTCTTGTCGGCTGTATATCCTCAATATGCCGGGTCAGTTAATTCCCGTCTGACATGACGCTTGGATGTAAATCACGTAAGGTTATATCCAAGAGATGATGCATGTGGCCAGAGACCATATAATATAATATAATCTATTATATGGTCTCTGATGTGGCTATAGTGGACGCTTAAGCTGGAGGTATGAGTGTGTACAAATAGCATTAAAACAGCTGTCGCAGAGACTGTTTAACGCCACGACTCGCACCACGTAACACCACGACCGCGGTTACTGGATATTGCATTCTTTTTAACAGCTGCATTATCTACCAAATATATCCAGCGAGCATGTTTTGTGCATGAGCATCAATGCACATAAATACTATGACATGCGTCGACCGTCCGATCCCGTCAGTCACTTCATATATTAAGGTCGGCAAGTTGTAAAAAGCGAATTTTCAAGAGATGTATCTGTGTAAAAGCAAATGATCACATTTTCGTATGTTTGTAAATAGATTATTTCTTGCTAAGGTGAAAAAGACAGTAAGGGAGAGCGAAGTGATACAACTTGATTCAACTCAAGGACCAGTGGGTAATATAGTAAGGAAAACCAATTTTTATGGATAGTCAACTTCTTTATTGCAATGAGTGCGATGGTGTAGGTACTAACACCTTAAATCAAGCAACTTGATACAGAGGGTAATATATTGTCACAATTTGGCAACAATATAATCCCTGGTGTAGAATTTCGTATTAATAAGTCCCAAAGTGCATGGTAATGTGAAACTTTTCTTAAAACCTCATTTACCTAAAGTTTCTAATTGTTTCCAAATGGCACCATAGTAAATCTCCTTTGTCCTGGCTGTAACATATATTATATATTAACCAAATACTTGGCTTAACCCCTCAAATTATAACAGGTACCCCTCCCTAGCAGCTCCTCCAGCAACCGTATCTATATTGCTGACGATTATGTTTAGGATTTAAGCAGCTTTTCCCCAGCACCCGATTTCACACACAGACAATCTCTAAATTATGATCATAAATGTCATGGATTGAAACCTCATGAAGCAAGATCTCACCTTGCCCCACCTTATGAATACTTTAAGTGCAAAACCCATCTACAAGGTCTAACAGAAACTACCCAGATCATCCACAGGAGCTGACAATTGTATGGCTGGTGGTGGCATCTGCAAGGTCACAACAAATTACCTCAAGGATGACGAAACACAGTCCAACTGTATTTTGTGTAGGTCATAGAGAGGGTATGGCAGTTCACTCAAAATTATGAATCACATGATCAGAAACCTGCACTCTTACGGCTCTTATTCACGCATCCACAATAAACATGGTTACTGTCCCATTAAACTTTGCTCCTCAATTTTGACCATCATCCAGCTACCAAACTGACCCACCCAGTTTTATCATGACTGTCCTTATAACAAAGTGGCATAGACCCCTGGGACTATATTAATTAATACCTTTAAAGGAATATCATTGACTTTGTCAAACCCTGTTGGTGGCACTTCCATCATTTCCACCTCCGCCCCCTGGCAAATGTTCTGGCATACCTGTAGTTGACAGAATCAGTTCATTGGGTAAACTCAGGTCGGTGAGGGTTTGCAATAATTGTGTAGCACCAGATCAGTTATGTCACCCCAAAACAAGACTTAAGAGCATCTGTCCATTCACTGTTTATTACTTATATGAACAAACTTTGACAATAATCATGTGAAAGCACATTCTGTAGTCCATTAATTATTCTGCACTACAGTAATTACATATTTTGGCATTCAATAATAGTTTCTCACTGCTGCATATTGCTGAGTCATTGACCAAGAGCTTATGGCTCTTCAGAGTGAAGATAACATCAGAAGTATCATGCTTCTGAACAACAACTCCTTAAACCAGGCACCCCTAACTGGCACATAACTATCAAAATCGTTCTGAAGAAATTTCACCACAAAAAGGGTTGGCAATATTGTCACGACAATCTGAAAATGTAAATACATTTTCTAAATTCTAAGCAACAAATGCTATGACTAGTTCAACTATAGTTTGTGTATGAGGATAAACCTTATCAAAAGCACAATGCTCAGGACAAAACAATCACAATGGTTGTCACCAGCTTATTACAACATAGTTTCTACAAACACACATTATTTATGCTTTAATACAAATCACTGATGCTCTTCAAAACAAAACAAAAAGTCCTGTTCCCATAGTGACAGCCTGAGAAATTGGTTCAACTCCTATCCACCCCAGAGAGCATACAGTGTGTCTGCTGTGCCATCCTCTTCAATAATCAACTCCGATGAGTAAACAGAGTAGAAATATTGTCAGAATGTCACATAAAGTCAATTTCAAAGGGCCTCTCAACATTACATTGCATGTAAATGAGTAGCTGCATGTCAAAATGATGCTGCAGTCAGCAATTGTACTGACAAATCACTGAGCACGTAATGGATGGCACATCGTAGTGTTATAAGTCAGCTTGTAAATGCACTGTGGACTGACAAGGTCACAGACATCACATCTTGTAAAAGTGATCTTGCAGACAAAGGATCCATTAATTAACATTAATATACATGCTGAACATTTGCTTGATGCTGTTTCTGTTTCCATGGTTTCAGGAGATCTGCCTCAGCTGTATGTTGTTTATGAGAAGCACTGTCTGTTCGTTCCGCTTCACTGAAATAGTCATCAAGAGCAATGTCATAAACATAAATACACCAAAGCATTGGCTAAAATATCTATGCAATATCGAAAATAACAAAATATTAACCAAGCATGTATACAAGCCAGAAAAGGGATACATAACAAATACTAGTGAAGTTTTGAAATTCCAACCCTTAGAATCCCTTTTATATTAACAGCCTCTGCTGACTCAGTGACTGGCTAGTGCTGATTCCATCCATGTTTAAGATATAAGGGACTCCATGAATTAGATAACAAAATCAGTGTTCATGACGTTTAATAGCTTTGTAGCACCTATAATGTGACTTGTGTGATGAGGTTGTAACAACTGTGTTTATAGTGGACCTAGGTGGATGACATTTGTCTGATCATACTCTGGACAGTGGCAGTCATTGGGATCACAAACTGTAGATAGTTGGTGTGCATTGTGTTCTGCAGTCAGTGTTCGGCTGAAAAACCTGAACAAGTGGGACAGCGACCCAGGGGTACAGATAAGCTGCGTATCTGCGTAAATTACGCAAACATTTATGTGAAAATTTGATTCCTTTCAAGTCTATTTCGTACAAGTACGCTTGAATTTTTGTAAATACTCAATAAATTTGATCTAACATGTGTACACACAAATGTCAAACCTTAGCTTGCGTACTGTAACATTCAGCAAACCTACTAGAATTTGAAGTAAGCAGACCCATGCGCTGCAGATGGAGGTTCCTGAGGTTAGATAGAATAACTGAGGTATATTGAGAAGTTCTATTTCAGCACATGAACTTGGCAACTTTCAGTTTATCTTATCTTTTCTCATATTACAGATCAAATAAAAATAATTCTATTTTCACAAATAATCGAAAATGGCAAAATACCCAATTGAGTTTGAGCGAGGTGGGTATAATTTATTTGGTTACTCAAAGGAAAACCAGGCTACCCAAATGAGATGAACACAAGCGAGTACATAACTCAATGACCCCAAAAGTTATCTGTAGCTCTGAGCTACCCCATCAGCATAAATACTTGTGGACATTTTCAAAACTTTACCAGGCCACCCATATAAAATATAAACCTGCTTATTATTGATGGAAAATTGACGTCAATAAGCAAAATCAGTGACGCTGAACGTTTCACATGGTCTCAGATCTATCATAATGTTACTGCAGCAACAACATACACTGTCATATACAGCTGTCAGTTTGCTTGTGATCACTGCCGTAAGCATGTTTCTTCTAAGTTCTTTTCTAAAATTTGAATGTACCTTTGTTGTTGAATTAATTTCACATGATTTAGCTGACATGCAGCTGATTTATGTCTGCATTATGCTGCAACCATGCATATAGTCACAAATCCAGGTTTATTGAAAATTTGTACCTTTTTCTGTCTGTCGCCATGGTAACTGTCATACGTGCCATGCCAACATTCTGTGTATAGCTTACTAGTAATAACCACTAAGTGTACATGTATACCATGATATGAATTACTAATGTATCCCTATAAATTTGGGAAATACTTGTATACATTACAAAATCATGTATATCTTTATCTTTGGGGAAAAGTTTACTGAAGTGACAATGATAAACAATCTTAAATAAAATTTTGAAAATAAAAAATTAGAATATGTTTCAAGTGATCTCAAAAGGAAAACTATTTTCAACCTGCTTCCTTCATATAGTGCATTACTTTGTCCATTAAAAATTTAGGCCAACAGCCATCACTTCCGCTAAGATAATTTCTCTTAGGCGTTAATGAGATACCAAAGTTGAAGCAGAAACATCTGGAATTACCAGAACTTACTATATTTGCAAACATGTACAGTACAACCAGAAAATATTGAGAATTTAAAGATTGTAAATTTTTAATTTTTTTCACTCATTACTCGCATATTAAATGTGAATATTAGCAGAAAATTACTCCAGATTCAAAGACAGGTGAACAGTTAGTATTTTGTCAAGTCACCATTGGCAGCAATGCAGGCTTCAATGCGGCGGGGTATACTACTGATCAAAGAAGCTAGAAAGTCGTGGTCCATGCTGTCCCAATATCGGACCACCTCTTCTTTCATTTCAGCAATATTTGTCAGATTTTTCTTATTGACACTTTCATTCATAAGTCCCAAAACATTTTCTATTGGATTTAGGTCAGGGATATAGCTTGGCCAATCTAATAATGTCATATTTTGGGTCCAAAACCAGGCCTGTGAATGCTTTGAACGATGTTTTGGGTCGTTGTCCTGCTGGAAAATCCCAAAATTTCCATAGAACATGTGATCAGATGGAAGTAAATGTCCCTCGAGAATATCTGTGTACCGCTCACTGTTCATATTCCCTTCAAATACAGAGGGGCGTTGCCCATAACACAGATATGCCACCCCACACGTTAAAATTTCTATGCTGTAAGCACCAGTTCAACCTTCGCTCCTTTTGTTCAGGTTTCATGATCGGTGATGGAATTCCTCGACTTTTCTGCCAACCCATTGCATGCAGCTCAGTTCTAATTGTCTCCTTACTGACAGCCACAGTTCCTCTATCAATCATATCCAGCCTTAAGTTTTCTAAACTCCTTCGTTTGTGTTTAGAAACAAGAATACTAAGCTGCCTCCTGTCACCGACAGTCAATTTTCTGGGCCTACCTGCGCCTCCCTGGTGCTCAATGCAACATTTTTCAAAACACGATAAACAGTGGACAAAGGGATGCCTGTTCTACTTGAAATCACTTTAGCTGGTCTGATGTCCTTGTTATAATACCCTAAAATCAACTGCCTCTTCTCTAAATCATCCATACTGAGGATCACTGAAAATGTCGTCTGCTAGCAAGTAAACAAAGGGGGATAACTCTTCACAAACTAATGAAAAAGGATTAACAGAGTTGTCTCTCTTGAATGAAACCAAGCACTTGATAGCTGGTCAAGGTTGTTTATACTAGAAATCCAATTAAACATATTCCTAAAATTCTCAATAATTTCTCGTCATACTATATAAGCTAGAATCTGATTGAGAGGATCATTTGTGACTTTCATCCAAAGAAAAGCACTAATAGTATATTGATATGCAATAGGCAAAGAAAATCATGACGTGTACTACCAATAATTGATGCAGCTGTGCCAGTGATGTAAAATAATTTTGAGTGAATGAGTTTGGTTTTACGCTGCTTTTAGCAATATCCCAGCAATATCACGACAGGGGACACCAGAAATGGGCTTCACACATTGTACCCATGTGGGGAATCAAACCCGGGCCTTCAGTGTTACGAGCGAACGCTTTAACCACTAGGCTACCCACTGCCCAAAATAATTTTAAAAATAATTTTGAAACAAGCATTGAGTTCCATAATAATGTGAAAAAACATGAACGGGCCTGATATCCAACTGAGTTTAAACATTGGGAGCCAATCAGAAAATTATTGTGAGTACTGCAAGACTGCTGACTTGGCTTTATGATTCCTTTAGTTGCCACAAGTCTCACAAGCATGGGTGGATTACTGAAAAACAATTCTAACCCAGATCAGCACAGTACCAAAGGGTGAGGCACGACAGATTATTGGTACACTTGATGATTCAAGTTCAGCTCACTGATGTTCAATGGGGTTGAGGTTAGGGCCCCATTCCATAAAGAGATGTATGGTAACAATCAAGATATTCATTGTCCAAGAACATTAGCTGGCCAAGTGAGTACCTGGAAGTACCCATTCCTCAAATAACGATGTTCTTGAAAGTACAAGCACAGGTGGTGGTTTGTGGTAGTGTGTGGTCTTGTGCATAGATAGAGCTCAGGTCACAAATCAGTTGAAGTTAAGCAACGTTGGGCACGGAGAGTCCTTGGATGGGTGACCGTGTTTGGCAGTTTGACTCCTGAGAGTTTCTAGGGTTTAGTCTGCCCCAAAACAAAGCTTATGTGATACATGTGGTCTCACCTTACACAAGTGAGCTTGTTCAAAATTGCCTCTGTTCACCCAGCAGAATATGGGTACCTGGTGGTATAAGTCATGTGACTGTTAACCTTCTAGCGCCTTACAGGCAGCTTGGGTTATCCGGGGTAATCATGTGCTTGACTTACTACTGAAAATTGCTTACATTTATATTTGCGATGCCCCTTTGTCTTCACATAGTTGAAGATGGTTTTGAAGTGAGAGAGTGTCTTCTCCACAACAGTGGCCTCAACATAGACTTGCTCACGGCTGTGGAAAGAAGAATCACAGGACTACACATGGTAGGCACACCATGTAACAGTAAACGCAACATTTTTCACAACATTTACATGTGACAACACTGTCAATATTACTGATGATGTATCAGTGAATGGACGAAAATAATGACACACCTAGTCATGTCTCACAATAACATTTTAATTCTATGCACCACTGCTTTTTGTGAGAAAAGAATCTATAAACAGATTTTTTGGCACGTTACTACAACAAGGCCAAATTGGTAAAGCATCATAGTTCAACAAACACTGGTTAAACATGGCTGTCAGCAATTAACTCTTGTCAGCCAGAAGGGACAATGGCAGAAATTAAGTAACACAATAAGAAGAATTTGTTACACAACAGTAATGACTGGTCATGTATTGTGTTGTGAGATTTGTGTGGGGACACCAACCTGAGCATTGGACGACCGACCATGGTAAAGTCTTTACTGCCAACCATCAAGACCTGATACAGAAACAGCAAACTGTATGACAGGGTCAAAGGGAGGTAATTCAATTATTGACAGCAACATTTGTTTCTTCAAACATTTTCAAGCTCCATCATGTTCATTTAACAATATAAACTGTCAGATTTAAATGTGTTACTGTGTATTTCATGTATGGACAAAAGACGGATTAGACTGGTACCTGAGAATTCGGCCTCATAAATGTTGAGGTTTTGTAGCTACATATTGTTGTTTTGTACATTAACACTACATCTGTCAATAATTTCCAATGTATGAACCTGGCCTGTAAATACTTTCGTCTGAACTCTTTCTCACCTTCTCCAACCTGATCTTGTCCCCGACTGTGGGAGGGAAGTTGTGCTCTACGATGATGATGTCTTCAGCTGTCACTTTGCGCTGTTTTCCTCCAACGTGCACAACAGCAAACAGACGTCCTAGGTCTGGACTGCCAAGCTTGGACTCAATGTTGCTGATAATATCTGCAGAGACAAAATATATCCTTCAACAAAGAGCTGAATGGTTATTAATGAAGGTCTGTAATTTACCTAAAATACATCAAGAAGACTTTAATTACTCTGTTATAGATTGATGCATATACCAAAATCACATCATTACCATGGTTACTGTAACAAGACAGATGAATTTAATTTCCTATTGAGTATTGTCTTCTCTTCTTCACTGAATAACTAGGGTGCCTGCATGCATTTTTACTCCCAGACATACCTTTACTGTTAGTAGCAGCCAGACTCCACTCTGGACTTGTGCTCAGTTCAGCTGCTGGGCTGCAACATGGATTTATAGTTTCTGAATCTACAATGACCAGCTGAAGTTTCACATTTCATAAAGAAGCCAGCCCTACAATAAGTCGATTACCTGACAAAATCCCCGCAGAACCGAAGCCCCACAGACAAAAGCCCCTCGGACACAAGCCCTTTTGGGCAAAAGCCCCAGACATCTCAGACAAAAGCCCCATATGATAATATATACGAAAACAATTCAGATTTAACAAGATTTATTTATATTCTAATATCAAAAATCAACATAGCCATATCCAATCAGAGCATTTGAGCACATATTTTCTGAGCAGCACTACTTGTCACATCAAATCACAAACAAATCAGCATAGCCCTATCCAATCTGAGAATATTTTCTTAATACAGCACTTGTCACATCTTACCCCAATCTTACAGTGTGTCCAACATTCTCAAGAAAACTTTGGAACAGTTTTCACATTATGTACATTAAGACCACCTTGTTTTTCTTTTTAACACAGTACTCAACAATTTTACAAAAACAATTCTGCTCCAAGATTTATAATGACAATGGATCATCTCAACATTCCCCACACTCTTCTCCCCTTAAAAACTCCCATTGAGTCTCTCAATAAAAATCATTATCCTCACAAATGATCAGATCCCATTAACAATTTCTAAAAGTTGCTCCTGAAAATAAACACTGACCTGCTTGTGGCAGTACTTGAAGAATTAGAAAACATTCTTCCACAGGCACTGCCAAACTGCTGACGCCTCAGATGCACACTGATGCATGTACGAGGGCATCTCAAAACTGCAACTTCCTTTTGCACTTAAAAGTACAGAAAGACAAATGACGGTGACCATATTTGATGACAAAGAAGTGTATTCCAGAATACTAAGCTTGTGTGAAAACAGTATACAAATACAAAATAACATGCTATATTTGCAATGACACATTCTCAGTAAAAATAACATATGTTACTTCTGACTACTTTCAAAACTGCATTGGCCCATACACCATGCCCATACATCATAGTGTGGGATGTAAATAGTACTGAATACTATTCAAGTTACAGTCATAAAAATCTATCTGCAATCTGAAATAAGTATCAAACACACAAGTGTGAATAACTTGGTCAATAGATCCTGGACAATAACCATTTCTTTGTCATACTCTGAAAACACAAAATATCGTGCTATATCAATGTACCTCTTTTTACTTTCACTAATAGAAGAAATTAACTTCATTTACTTAAAATATGTTGATAGCTGCTTCTTTGAAACACAACGATAAACCTAAACAAAATTCCCCTGAATATCACAAAACTTCTTGTAAAATGAACCGATCCCAAACACTGGTGAATTTAAACTAATGATTTCATAATTTTCTATCAGCATGATCTAATGTCGAATTCATGTACTGTTCATTTGTGAATCCTATTCACAACTAAGAGAGAGGTTTATTACAAAATGTGTTAAAAAGCCTTATACTGTATATTCTTTAGCAAATCTTTTCAAGAATACTAATGTAGACACTGTAAAATATGTTGCCTTGTATCTATTTTATGTTAAAAGGATTATTACAAACACACTTGAATGATCATTGTGCCCCTAACTACTCTGGAATTTCCTTTCGAATGTATTTTGTGCCCACGGCCTTTTACTGGAAATAAACTCTGTCTGTCTGTTTAGCAGAAAGCAAATTGACACAAAATATTTCAAATGCACACTAATATTGACTAACCTCGTCAATAATTTTAAAAGAATGTGACCTTGCGTGATTATGAATCTGTGGATATATTGACCCCTATCGCGGTACTTTTTGACAAAAGTCTGTCAAAAAGAATTAGGGAGTCCCTACAGAATATGTTCGCCCCTAACCTATCCCTTACCCGGAGCCCCTATAGAATATGTTCACCCTAGCCATAAACCGGCTAGAATGCACTTTACCTGGCGCAGCCCTCGCTGCTCCCTTTACGATCCTTAGGGTTAGGGTTAGGCACCCTTTACGATCCTTAGGTTTAGGGTAAGGCACCCTTTACTATCCTTGGGGTTAGGCATCCTTTACGATCCTTGGGGTTAGGCACCCTTTACGATCCTTAGGGTTAGGGGTAAGGGTTAGGGTTAGGGAACCCCAGCAGCCCTAATTAGTCTGAAAAAGTGCGCCCGGTAAAGTGCAGTACTCCCCATAAACCTAACCATAACCGAACCGTGCCTATTCTATTCTTCGTGGGGCGAACCGATTCTATTCTCACTACCGAATTCGACATGTGAATTGGGGTGAAGTTGTCCTGATATTCAAGTCAGATAGATATGAGCACTTATAACCATGAGAAGCTGCGAGTCTGAAAAAATACCAAAGGAATTAATACACATTGGTGCCATTAATACCTGATCTTAAACTTTGTGCAGATACTATCCTTGAAAATTGAACGCATGCTGATCTCATCACAGCACCTGTGACTGCCATTTTGATTTTTGAATTATCTCCCCTATACACCAATATTTTTACCTCTTTTCTTACGAGGGATTGTATAAAAAATAATTACTTCATTTTGGTCGGCATGGTTTCAATAGCTTTATCGTTATGGTTGCAAAGGGCACTCTACAAAAGATTCGCTTTCTTTTTCATATAAGGTACTCAGATGACGACCTTTCGCACTTTGAATATTTGATGTTTGAAGACAAATATGAGGTGCCTGAGGAGAAATACGAGGCAATGGCTGAAGATTCACCATATATCGATCTATATTCACCAACTTCTAAATGCCTCTCAAGAATCTCAATGACTGAAGAGGAATATATATAGCTTATATGAGGAAGTGCTTGAAGAAGATTCTTAGGTGACTAAAAGGTGTGGCTTGAAGTGAAACATGAGGTGGTATTTGAAGAATAATATAAGGTGTGTTTGATGAAGATATGTGTGGGTAGTGATTGAAGACTAGACTAACAACTAGTCTATGAAATGAACATATTTTACAGAAAAAAGCTCATAGTAAAAAAATAAAATAATAATGAAAAGGAGCCCTGTGACTTCCTTCATTTTCATAAATCTAGACTTGCCACATTGTCTAGACTTGCGTGGGCTTTCTTGGATATGTTTGCTTCAGGGTCTGAATGACAGACTAACTGAAGACAGTCACGAGAAGATGCTTGCAGAAGAACATGAGAGGGTGTTTGATTCGCTGTGCTGTGTTGCATTACTTCCTATCATCGTTGGTTATCCCATTAATTGGTTTGTCAACATGGTATCTGTGTTTCACCAAACAATAAACGGCTGCGATATGCACCGCTTCGTACTTTCTGACAATCGAATACCATTTACATATAAGGATTAGTGTATTGACAATTTCTAACGAGAAGCTTTAAGGGATGCCTTTGTTCGTGTGATGCGTCTTTCAATATAGGAAGCATCATTTTAAAATGCATCAGGAGAAAATAATCGTCTGTCCCACAGTCCCTGAAGCGCATTACTTTCCCTTCTGTTTAGCCCTTTCTACAATGCTGAAGTTCTAAATGAAGCAAGTTTAGATTTCCTCAGGTTCTGAATTTCCCGACACACTAAGGCTCCTTTTCAATTTACAAGGAATTTTTGGCTTCTTTCCAAATTATATATATACTGAGAGAAACAAATAAAGGATCACAGGAAAATTCAAGCGTTCCTTTATTATTTTCCAGTTTTCATCACAATAGCGCTATTCAAAGCTGGTGATGAAAACTGGAAAATATTAAAGGAACGCTTGAAGTTTCCTGCGATCCTTTATTTGTTTCTCTCCGTTTATATTCAGAGACTAAGGACTAGTATAGACAAAATCATTGTTCCTGAAAGATATTTTCATTAACTGGCCTTAGCTATATTAGCCATACATGTACAGCTCCTAACCTTTAAAGCAATGAATGGTTTCTTTAAGGCTATGATTTACAGAAGTCCTAGCTATTTGCACAACATTTACTTGCCTTCCAAGTGCTGTCCCAAAGCAGTTGTGAGTTGGCTTTATATTCCAGTTCTATCACGTTGTGTTAGCTTAATGTGTGAGGAAAGCCCGAGGTGAAACAGTTCTATATATAAAACACTTCAGCGAAGGTGATCGGAAAAACGTAACGGGAAAAAAAGAAACGGGACAAAGTAACAGATTTAGCTTGAAAAAAAGTAACAGGAAAAAAAGAAACACTTTTTAAGTTGTTTGTTTTTTATTTATTAACAAAGTATAACAAAACGTGTGTGGCTTGTGTACAACTGGATCTTCTACGTCTAAAGTTGTGCTTAGGCTAGCACGACAGTCTGACTTAGAACACTTACTACATTTCCACCAAATCTTGTTTCTTCTCTTGCTGGCAACAGTGTACATGTGACCATCATGACACAGCTTCTTTCCTCTCTTGTTACTTTTTATCACCTCCATCATGAACATAAACAAGTAACAACTTAAATAAGATGGTCAAAGCTCATCGTAATCCTAATTAAATGTTTATAGTATTTATATAAAAACTGTTACTTTTTTCCTGTTACTTTTTTTCCTGGTTTCGTTTTTTCCTGTTACTTTGTTTCCTACATGCTTCAGCGAAACGCATGATCATGCATATAGCCACAAATGGAGAAACAAGGCGGTATTTTTAGTTTTAAACATATTTATTTCGAGAGAAAGAAAAGGGATTGGCAAACAAGCTCAGTGGGCTTATATAAATGCCTCTCCCGAGCATGTACATATTTGCGGAAGTTATTTACAACAAATCAATTGCCAATAAAGTTATAGAATGTATTGGTACCACACGTTTGCTCGTTGAATAAAATATGGTATTTACTTGCTGAGCTTTATGAATAATTTCTTAAGTCATGTTAAATCTTTTTGAAAACTGGATGATATGGTGAACAGAGGAGATCAACTTTTTATTAGTGTTTCGGTATTTCAACCCAGTCGTTTGATGCACCGCAGTTAGATAATCTTCGCTAAGATGATTTCTGATTAAGGACAAAAGACGTCATTTTCGTGCAAACACATTTTCGGTGTTGATCCGATTTCCTAACCAAACAAAATAATTCAAAGAATATGTTAATCATATTAAATTCAGTCAAGCTGCAGGCAAATAACCAGACTAACAACTAGTCTCTGAAATTAACATATTTTACTGAAAAAAACGTTCATAGTAAAAAAATATATATATAATGTAAAGGAGCCCTGAGACTTTCTTCATTTTCAGATGAAGCTGAGGAAATCTAGACTTGCCACATTTTCTAGACTTGCATGGGCTTTCTTGGATATATTTGCTTCAGGGTCTGTACGAGAGACTAGCAAATAACGTAATGTCATGGAAATAAAAAGCAGCATCAGCCTCATAAATGCTTATAAAATGCTTAAAGAAAGATACTTTATCGATGACAACGTCTTTATTACATATGATGGGACGTTTCGGACGTTTTGGTATAGATTCTTACACCGTTGTCATGGAAGAGTGCATATACATTGCGATGCTTCATAGCTTTTCATTCCTGATGAAGGGGTTGGAATATATACTCCAAAACGTCGCAGTTGACATTCATAAATTGCCCCCTTTGAGACGACCCCTCGTTTCACTCGCTTCGGATATTTCCGCTGGGATTCAATCGTGCATGTTTGATCACGTGTCAAATTCTTTCTTCAGTTACCGGCAGTCGCAGCGTGGCACAGGTAAGCTTGTGAATGTCATCCTGTGATTGACATATAACGTCTTTCAAATCATTCGCTTTAGAGATTTGGTAAATGGAATTTATTAGAATATGCCAATACAAGTGCGCGTGGTTACGTTAACAGCCATCGTGATAAGTGGGTCGAATCTCTGACATCTACCGAGAATAAAATTGACCCCCACCCACTCTCAACAGGTAGTATCCCCTATTACATGTGTAGAACCCAAGCGTGTGATACAGGGTAGAATCTCTATCCAACCGAGTAGAATCAAAACCTATGTCACCCGGTAGAATCTTGGGCAGTGTCACCAATCGCTACCAGAATGTCGGCCTGTATCTAGCCTAGGTACTGTAGAATATTTATTCTTATTATAGGATATTTATATAGCGCACATATCCACACACCCACACACTAGTGCATGCTCAAGGCGCTGGTATTTTTTCCCTCGATCATTGGATGTCAATCTCAACGGCACATCCCATTATCAATCTCAACTCACAGGGGAGTATACAACTCTTGCAGCCACTAGGCGCACCGAGTTATTGTGGCTTTCTCATCCTAACGAGGTACCCATTCACAGCTGGGTGGACTGGGACACATATATAGTCACAGTACTTGTCAATGTTAACTGCACATTGCTGTACCCGCAACTAGGTGTTCGCACGTATTCATGTGGCCACCATCACGGATTCGTGGGTTCTTGTAAGTGCACAGGGTTGTGTACCGTACACTAGGGGTTGTGACTGTTGAACACTCATTCTCACTCAACATGCACATTTACTCTGTTGCATTGTCGCATAATTGTAAGTGCAAAAATATTGAACTTCTTCACAAAAGTAGGTTGGAAATAAAGATACCTTGGGTATTCTGTGTTAATTTACCATTACCATTTCCATAATACATAAAAAAATATATTCTTACATGTATAACATCCCATTTTAGTTAAAACTTGCATGTCGCCAGCGAGGGTGTATATATACTAGGCACATAAAGAAACTGTGCATACAAAAATTTAAAATCTAAATTGATCAAACCTGTGTAGACACATAAGGATTTAAACTCAGAGATTAGTGACATGTATGCAACATACATGCACGCTCCGTGACGTCAGTGGGTTCGTCCTTGAGACGTGCAATACGTTGTTGCACGTGCATTCCGGGAAAGAGAAACAGAGCAAATGAATGCCACACAATACTGTCACTTTGGAAAGCTCAACCCCTGCCCTTGCGATCGTTCAAAAAATTAACGGCTATTGAAACGCATAGCATGCCAAGGCTCACGTCTGCACAACGTCATGAGGCCATTGGGATGGTCCGTGGGGGAATGTCTCAACGACAAGTGGCTGCACATTTCCACTTCCCCCGGAACATCATTTCTGCACTGGTGAGACGCTACCAGAACACAATTGGCATTATCTATCGGCCACGTTCTGGACGTCAACATGTAACAATGCCAAGACAGGACAGATGGATAAGGGTGACCCATCTTCGCCACAGGTTTCAGACTACAGTGATGACTGCCCGATCCAACACAGTTCGACAACGTTACGTCATCACAGGATCAAACCACGACATCCCGCCATATGGCCTATCCTGACACAATGTCATCGACAAGCTCGCCGAATGTGGTGCCGAAATCATGTCCGCAGACCCTTGTTTTGGTGGAGAAATGTTGTTTTTACAGATGAGTCCAGGTTTAACATTTCCCATAGTGATGGACGTCAACGTGCCTATAGACGCATGGGAGAACGTTATGCACAGGCCTGTGTCTTGGAGAGGAATCGCTTTGGTGGTGGTTCCGTGATGCTTTGGGGTTTAATAACAGCACGCCAAAGAACTCCTTTGGTGATTGTTCAGGGCAACTTAACTGGTGTGGGCTACAGGGATCAGATCCTTCGACCAGTGGCAATGCCTTTTCTGCAACGTCATGGCCCTGGGTTAACATTCCAACAGGACAATGCCCGCCCTCATACGGCAAGGGTTGCTATGGATTTCTTGCAACACCACAACGTTGACTTACTGCCTTGGCCTGCAAATTCACCCGGATCTCTCCCCAATAGAGCATGTTTGGGACGAGATGGATCGACGTCTACGCCATCTTCCTCATCCGCCAGATAACGTCCTTGACCTTGCAACACAACTTGAGAGAATCTGGCGTGACATCCCACAAGCCTTCCTTGCACGTTTGATAGGCTCTATGCGTCGTCGATGCACTGCTGTTCTCAATGCCGATGGTGGACATAGCCGTTATTGAGCTTGTGACATGGTTGTTTGACCCCTGTCCCGCTCATGACTCGTGACGTCATTGTGATTGACTTTTCAATTGAAATTCTCCCGACTTGTTATGGTCTCATGATTCCTCCATTAAAGTTTATATGTACCTTTGACATTGTTATTGTACTTATCAACTGGGATAATATTTTGACAATGCACAGTTTCTTTATGTGGCATCACAAATAACACTAAAGTACTGTTTGAAATAGAAAAAAAAACTGTTTTTAGGGTCTTTCTCTGTATCCTAAAATTTGCACAATTGCAATTATCCAGCCTCATGTAAGAATGTCGTGTTTTGATTGGTTCACGTGACTCTGATAAAATACCATGTACACCCGTCACGATCCGCAAGCAGGGAGTACAAAAGTCATATTATCAAGCCACACCTCGGTGACAACGCGAAGTGAGAAAAGCGTGCATCGCCAAGCCTTTAGTAACGTGCACTGCATTGAGGTCAATCGATCAGCTGTTGTCAACATGGCAGCAAGGAAACATTTTGCCATAACAACTGAGAATGAAATTGAAGCAAAACGTTCTAACGTATCTTTTGATTTAGTAAAACATTCGGCTAGATAAATGCGTTATCACATCGTGTCTCGGGAATTACTGTGTTTTATCAGTCCCACGTAAGGTTGTATTCCCGTCGCCTCCGGCTCGGGGAATACAACCTTACGTGGGACTGATAAAACCCCGTATTTTCCACGACACGATGTGATAACTTATAATAGCATATGTTCAGAAATAACCCACATCGGCCTAACTGGGCATTCAGTGGGATGCGTTATAGGATGTCCAGAAAAGCATGTTTACTCGTAAAATGATAAAACTTAGAAAAATATGAATAGCTGCTGAAAACAATAGATCAGACTATAGATTTTTAAAGTTTTTTTTATTTTCCATATTTCATATACAGGCAAACATGTATAGATAAGTTTCATAATAATACAATGGTATATGTATACATGTATGAAAATGTACAGTTGGCTGAAAAAGTATAATTGGCTGGATTAATTTCCAAGTAATAAATGTAATGTTGACCAATATTGAAAAAATATTTGCTCAGTTCCTGCTGATAAGTAAACATATCTTGACATATCATAGTGACGGACAATTTCATTTTAAAAATATTTTAACATTGGTTTGAAACCATTTATGCTGCATCTGTAGATATAATGTTTTACAACTGAAATGATTTCATTAATCGGATTATTGTTTTTTCCTTTCATTCCCAATATAACGATTTTATTCCAGTTGTAACTGTACTGAGTTCGACCATGATTCTATTTCTTTCCATAATTTAAAATCAAATTCACATTCCCATAACATATGATTGATAGTTTCTCTTTCTTGTTCACAAAATGGACATATTGGTGAGGATGTGTATCCAATTTTATAAAGTAGTTGTCTTGTTGGGAGGATATTGTGGATAATTCTATATTGCATATTGCTGCCCACAGGCACAGCGATCATCTCAAACATATTTTATGCTCTTTCATGTGTATCAAATATGTTTCTTTGGATTATCTTATCTTATAGTTTTCATAGCTGATATATCTGATCGTGGTAGCTGGGCATCGCAGGCGAATGTATAACAAGTCTTGGTACATGTCGTCGTAGAGGGCTTTGGCAGGGACCTCACACAATAAACGACCTGCATGGGCCCCTCGCCCTTATTAGCCCGTCCACCCTGCTGTGCAGTTCTGATCACTTGAGACCCCCCCTGGCCGACCAGATGACCCCCTATCCAAAATGAATGAGAAGAGTAAAGCTTAATATTGATGGGTTGGTTTGCTGCCGCTAGCATCTTCCTGAGCACTGCCTGAAACTTGTTAAAGGAGCAGAATTAGTGTGAATAAAGAAATACCCGTCTGTACGTGGTTGCACTGCCAAAAAAAGTGTCAAAGCTTTGACGGGGCACAGTGTGGACTGAGGGACTGCTTGAATGGCGATGCGTGTGCCGCTGCCTTGTTGATCTGTTTTGGAGGCCCGTAGGACCACCTCTACGTAGGATTGGTCGCTAGCAAAAGACATGTCATTCAGCAACACCGCCCGCTGTGACGAGTCGCTGATTGAACCAGCGACTACCTCACTTACCCTGAAAAACCAAAAAAATGTTAGCAGGTACGCCGCTGAAAACATAGAAGCTTCATATGAAGACCTACATACCGTGGGGAGGAGTTGCACAATGCGAGTTAGCAGATCGAGTGTAATAGGGTGACGTGTATCTGGCTGCCTCGATCTCCTGGCCATCCCTGCAATGGCTTTCTGCACTAGAAAGTGGTTAGACATGCACAGCAAGGAATTGAGCTTGTGGATGGTGGATAATGCTGAAATGTAAGAACGGGCCGTGCTGGGAGACCTACTTGATAATGAGAGATAAGCTATAAAATGAAGCATATGATCTAAAGGTACAGGCCATATGTCAGGAAGGGAGTACACCGCCAGAAATAGCCACAGTGACTGAACTGCCGACTCGTAAGTCCTCCAAGTGTTTGCTGCCATCGAGCTTGCTACTACTAGTACTAGACTGTTTGCTTCCGCTGTTAGATGAGTCAGATTTCCGCTGCGATTCCAGAGGCCTGTTGATCCGCCTGTGGGGCTGCTGCTCGAAACCGTGACCACTGAAATCTCGAAAGAGCGTCTGCTATTATGTTGGCTTGAGTAGGTATATACCGTGCTTTGAAGTGTATGTTGTTTTGCAAGTCATATGAGGACCATTCGCCTGAG